AAGACTTCTGATTGACTTCCCAGCAATTGAGAATTATTTACAAAATTAAGAACATTTGTTGAATCCCATTCCCAATACCTGACAAACAAAATTTAAAAGCATAGAAACAAAGAGAGTCTTTGGAGTTGTCTCAGCCATTTCTGTAAGTGTTGATGGCTGATCTGAGTAAAATTGAGTCTTTGACAACTTCAGTCTTTTCTCCACTTATCTTGATGTTATTGATTAGTCCAGTGGTGAGGATTTTTGTTTTATTTATGTTGAGGTGCAACCCATACAGAAGGCTGTGGTCTTTGATCTTCATCAATAATTATTTTAAGTCCATTTCACTTTCAGCTAGCAAAGTTGTATAATCTGCATATTGCAAGTTTTTAATAAGCCTTCCTCAAATCCTGATGCCATGTTTTTCATATAACCTACCTTCTCAAATTATTAAATAAATATGGTGAAAGAATATAACCCTGGTGCACACCTTTCCTAATTTTATTATCCTTTTCATTTTATTTGGTTCTGTTGTGACATCACCCATGTGGTTTCTAGTGTTTGTTATTTGTGTCTTCTGCCTCTTTTCTTTTGTTAGGTTTGCCATTGGTCTGTCGATTTTGTTAATCTTTTAGATGAACCAGCTTCTTGTCCTGTTGATTGTTTCTATAGTTTTTCTGTTTTCTGTCTCATTTATTTCTGCTCTAATCTTTATTATTTCTTTTCTTTTGGTGGCTGTGGGTTCCCTCTGTTGGTCTGTTTCTAATTGTTGTAGATGCTGTGTTAATGTGTTAATTTTGGTTCTTTCTTCTTTTTGGATGTGTGTGTTTATTGCAATAAATTGTCCTCTCAGCACCGCTTTCGCCGTGTCCCAAAGATTTTGGTATGTTGTGTTCTCGTTCTCATTTGTTTTTTAAGAACTTTGTGAATTCACATTTAATTTTTTCTACTACCTAGTTGCTTTTCAGCAGGGTGTTGTTCAGTTTCCATGTATTTGACTTGGTTTCCTTGGCCTTTCTATTGTTGATTTCTAATTTGATGGCATTGTGGTCTGAGAAGATGCTTTGTAGTATTTTGATATTTGTAAATTTATGTAGATTTGTTTCGTGGCCTAAAACATGGTGTATTCTGGAGAATGTTCCATGTGCACTAGAAAAGAATGTGTATTGTGCTGTTGTTGGGTTGAATGCTCTGTACTCATCTATGAGGTCCAGTTGGCTGATTGTGTTATTTAGTTCTTATGTGTCTTTGTCAAGTTTCTTTCTGGTTGTTCTATCCATTTTTGAAAGCAGTGTATTAAAATCACCCACTATAATTGTAGATTCATCTATTTCTTTGTTCAACTCTATTAGAGTTTGTTTTATATATTTTGGAGCTGTTTCATTGGGAGCATAGATATTTATTGTGGTTATTTTATCTTGTTCTGTTGTCCCTTTAATCATGATATAATGTCCATCTTTATCTATTATGCTGTTTTTTGCCTTACTTTATCAGAGATTAGTACTGCCACTGCTGTTTGTTTTTAATTGCAATTAGCTTGGTACATTTTTTTCCATCCTTTGACTTTTAATCTGCTTTTGTCTGTGTGTGAGATGAGTCTCTTGCAGACAGCATATTGAAGGATCTTGTTTTCTTATCCATTCTGCCACCCTCCGTCTTAACAAGTGCATATAATTCGCTTACATTCACTGTAATTATCGGTAGGTATGGATTAATTACTGCTATTATGTTTGGGGTTTTTGTTTTTGTGGTTTTGCTGCTTTCTTTGTTCTGTGTGCCTTCCTTTGTTGAGTTTATGCTTTTTGTGTTCTTTCTTGTGAGTTTCCTCGTAGTTTTAATGTTTCCATGTTCTTCTTGGATTTTCATTCTCTTGGTATGTTGTGAAGTGTTAATTTTATTTGAGGTTATTTTATAGTCCATTAACTTTTCTCTCCATTTAGTGCAGTCTGTTTTATCTTGTAATTGACCTGACCTTCTCACCATCTGGATCTCTGTTCCTATGTGTTTACCTTCTTTTACATTGTACTTGTTTTGATCATAGATTGACCTCCCAGATTCTCTGACCTTGTTCTTACAGTTTTGTTCTGTTCTTGACTGTTCCCTCTCTTGACTTAATTCAGGGAGGTACTGCCACATATGTCAATATCTGGTTTGTCTGTTTTTGTTGGTTCTCAGTCCACAGAACTCGCTTTAGGATGTTTTGTAGGGCATGGTTGGCTTAGGCAAAATCCCTTAACTTCTGTTTATCCAGGAATGTTTTGATTACACCATCATATTTGATTGATAGCTTTGCTGGTTAAAGGATTCTTGGTTGGCAATTTTCTTTCTTTTAGGTTTTATATGTGCCTCTCCATTGCCTTCTTGCTTGCATGGTTTCTGTTGAGAGATCCAAGCTTAATCTGACTTGCTTTCCTTTGTATGTGACACTTCTGTTTTCCCTGGCTACTTTCAGAAGTGTCTCCTTATCTTTAATTTTGGAGAGCTTGATATGTCTTGGTGATTTTCTTTTAGGGTTGATCCTTCCTGTAGTTTGTTGAGCTTCTTGAATGTTTACCTTTTCACTTTTCAGGATGTTAGAGAAATTTTCTTCCAGCAGTTCTTTAACTATTGCCTCTGTGGACTTGTGTGATTCTTCTTGTTCTAGAATGACGATAATTCTTAAGTTATTCCTCTTCATGTTGTCCAACATGAATCTTAGACCTTCTTTAGATTTTTTAATCCTTTTTTCTGTTTGTTCTTCTATCTTAGTGGTATTGAGAGATTTGTCTTCCAGTTGACTGGTTCTACCTTCCATCTCATCTATTCTACTCCTTTGCCCTTTCAGAGTATTGTCTACTTCTGATATGCTGTTACTGATTGTTTGGACCTCTTTCTGTAGGTTTTAAATTGTTTCCAATGCTGTATCTATCTTATATGATTGTTCCGGTAGTGCTTTCCTGACTTCTTTTTTCTTTTTCTCAACTCCATTGTAAAATGTTTTGAAACGTTTTATAATAATTTTTCTGAACTCCTTCTCAGGCATTTCCAAGGCCTTCTCCCCTTCCAGAATGGAGTCCATGTCTACCTCTATGTCATTTGTCTTGGACATTTTATCTTGTTTCTGGATGTGTACTGATATGGTCATCTGCTTTTGCTTCTTGGACATGTTTAGTGTTTATCTGTGGCCTTAATACTTAATTGAGTATGTGTTTTGGTAATATTTTATGCTTTCTGATTGCTTCCAGGAAGATGTGATCAGGACGTGGGCTTCCCTTTTCAGTCTTCTTATTGCTTAACTCAGAGTAACTTTCACAGTTGTTGTCTGTTTCCCTGGTATATGACAGTTGGTATTGGTTCTTGCCTGGATTTTGGTGTTTTAGTGTGGTTGTAGCTTGACTATATGGCAGCAGTTACTGTCTCTTCTTTGATAATATAGGGATAGAAAGAGTCCCCCAAAGGTAGAAGGCGTATTATATGACAGAAAAACAGCTGTGGGCTTCCCTTTTCACTCTTCTTATTGCTTAAGTCAGAGTAACTTTCACAGGTATGGCTATCTTGTTTTGTTCTAAAAGCTGCCTCTTGTTCTGTGTGCAGGTTCCTTAAGAGCACAATTAAGTGTTCTGGAATACTCATACTTTGCAGTGTTGTCCATAGCTTGTCATGATCCACAAATTGAAATGCATAATTAACAATGCATAGGTAAACATCCTTCTGGTCTTCTCTGCCTCAAGTCAAGATCTAACTCATGTCAGCAGTGATATCTCTCATTTCCCATCCTCCTTTGAATCTGTTTTGAACCTCTGGTAGTTCTCTGTCAGTGTACTGTTGTAGTCGGTTTTAAATTATTTTTAGCATAATTTTACTTGCATTAGATATTAATGATATTGTCCCATGAGTTCATTGTCTCATAAGTTCCACATTCCATTGGATCACCTCTCTCTGGAATGGACACAAATATGGATCTCTTCCAATCAGTTGTCCAGGTAACGGTCTTCCAAATTTCTTGGCATAGTTAAGTGAGTGCCACCAATGCTTGTTCAATTTGTTTATAGTTTTCAATTTGTATTCCATCAATTCCTGGAGCTTTTTATTTGCCAGTACCATCAATACACTTTGGACTTCTTCTTTCAGTACCATTGGCTCTTAATCATGTGCTACCTCCTGAAATGGTTAAAAACTGGCTATTTCTTTTTGGCACAGTGATTGTATATTCCTTCCATTTTCTTTTGATGCTTTCTGCATCATTGGATATTATGCCCATAGAATCCTTCAGTATTGCAAGTTGAGAGTTGTTTTATTTCTTCAGTTACCTCAGTTGTTCTTTCCTTTTGGTTTTCTAATTTCAGATTTTTGCACTTTTCATTATAATATAGTTATATAATATTTTATGGTACCTAAATATTAAGTTCTTCCCTTCATCAGAATACATAAATACTAAGTGTGGTGCTGTAGGATCAACACTGGACTGTGAAACATAAACTCATCAGCTGCTCTTCAGAAATCCTACCCAGGGTCACTATGAGTCAGAACCAACTTGACAGCACTTAACAACAAGAAATCTGTAATAAGCATTGTACTCCTTTAATCTCTAAATGAAGTTAAATCTAACTTTTATATGGAATTTATTAAGTTATTGTCAATTTTGTACTTTTCTTTCTAGATATCCTTATATTTTGGATTCGCTCATTATCATGAGTGACACTTTGATATTAGATGTGATTGGTCGAAGAGTTGAAGTTAGTGGAGAGTATGCAACAGTGCGTTTTTCTGGCGTTATCCCTCCCACAGCAGGTAATTTGTGGGTTTATGTCTGTGTGTGTGTGTGTGTGTGTGTGTGTGTGTATATATATATATATATATATATATATATGCATTTGTTTGTTTTCTCTGCATTTGTTTCTATGTTGGCTTTTAAATGACACCAATTTTGAGGAAACTTACAACTAATTTGAACAAACTTCCTATATGCAGTTTTCTCATTTGGATGACAAATTCATCTGTGGTTTTACTTAATTATAAACTATTTAATTACTTAATGCTGCTATTTTATATGAAATTAACCTTAAATCATCTTTGAAAGTATTTTAAACTGCAGCAACAAATCTTAAATTCTCACAAATCGGAACTCAAAAATTAGTAGATTGTTTTTGAAATGTCTTTTTGGTTATTAATCCCTGTGTTTAAGGAGCCCTGCCTGGTGGCACAGTGAGATAAGCATTGAGCTCCTTCCTGGAAGGTTGGCGGTGTGAACCCACCACGCATTCTGAGGGCGACAGAGGAGACAGTTTGCTTTCATGACCATGTGTGGCCCCAGGGAGCAGTTCTGCTCTATCCTAGAGCGACCCTGTGCATTGTAAGTGACTCGATGTATTGAACCTTGGGCAGCACAAATGGTTAAGCTCTCAGTTGGTAACTAAAAGGTTGGCAGTTTATACCCAGAGCTGTATTGGAAGAAGGGCCTGCCAGTCTACTTCTGAAAAATCAGGTCTCAAAAACTCTATTGAGTTCAGTTCTACTGGGACACACATGGGCTAGTCATGAGTTGGATTAATGCAATTTAAATTAATATGCTACTTTTCTTCCTATGACATTTTTTGATACTTACTTTGCTTCTACAGCATAATTATATATTTAAATTTCTTAATGGTATATATTGTAATTGTATATTATTTACTTACATCCCAGTTTTAGACTTTTTCTAGATTTTTCCTTCTTTGAAAAAAACAATTATTTTTGTTGTTGCTGAGAATATACAGATAAAACAAAAGCCACCTTTTTTTCTGTATGCAGTTCAGTGACATTAATTACGTTCTTTGAATTGTGCAACCTTTCTTACCCTTCTTCTCTGAGTTGTTCCTACCCCATTACTAGTAGCTTACTCCTTCCCATGGTTCCCATCTCTTCTTTCCAGTTGCTGTTGTCAATTGGATGCCATAGAGATCGACCCTGAAAGAACACAATACCTAGGCAGACATTCTTCCAGTTAAGCTCAACTGTTACTTAGTCTTAATGCCTAAGAGCATGTTTTTGGTTTAAGGCTTAAAGATTATCTCAGTTTGGGGCTCAGCCAGCCTCTGGGGCTCTGTGGTCCATGAGAATTTGAAATTCTGTTCTGCATTGTCCTCCTTTTGAACAGGGTTCATCTTTACACTCTTTGATCAAAATGATCAGTAATGATAACCAGGAACCATTCAGTTCCAAATTCATGGCAAAGAAGGCATCAGTTGTTCATGAAGGCAGTTGGCCACTCTTTCCATATTGTCCTCCTACTCCTGATTCCTCTTCCACTGTTGCTTCAGTTAAACAGAGACTAATTGTCATGACTTGGATGACAATTGGACCACTTGCAAGCTTCTAAGACCCCCGGCACTATGCAGAGATCTGTCTTCAACGTAGAGCAGAACTGGGATGTCCCGTGAAACCATCACTGTAGATTTCCAAACCAGGAAAGCAAATCCCATGAGGTGCTTGGTTGTATGTAAGTAGCCTCGCTACTGCTATTCATAATGATGTTAAAATTGTGCCCTCTTTGGCCGCTGGGAGTCTCATCAAATTGGCTGCTGAGCACTTTTGATGGGGCACTTTCAGTTTTTTTTTTTTTTTGCTTTGTTTCCTGATAATGCAAGAATTTCAAGATCATTTTATATATTTTTTTGCCCGCTCCATAAATCTGCCATTTCTCCAAAAATCTGATTCTTTTTAGTGGGAAATAGTGTTTGTAGACCACATTCTGGAGTCCAGGGGTGCTTACTAGGTTGGGCATTGTTCCTAGCCCTTTTTAGTTGTCAGCGCCTGCATTTATAGGATTAATTCCTAGATTTAGAATAGAATTAAGGATATGTGTATTTTTTATGCGTATTACTATAAAAAGTTTCACACATATAGAAAAGTTGTTGTTGGAAAGTGCTGTTGAGTCGATTCTGACCCATAGTGACCCTGTGTAGGATTTCCAGGGAGCAGCTGGTGAGCTTGAACTGCCAACCTTTCTGTTCAAACAGCTTCGCAGTCTGGTGCATTAACACACAGTGCCACACCAGTTGTTGTTGTTGTTAGGTGCCGTTGAGTTGGTACCAACCCATAGCGACCCTATGCACAGCAGAAGGAAACAGTGCCTGATTCTGGGCCAGGCTCACTACTGTTGCCACGCTTAACTCCATCAATGCTGCCATTTGGCCAATCCATCTTGTTGGGGGTCTTCCTCTTTTTCTCTGATCCTCTACCTTTCCAAACATGATATCATTCTCCAGTGACTGGTCCCTCCTGACAATATGGCCGAAGTATGAGAGACAAAGTTTGGCCATCTTGGCCTCCAAGGAGTACTTTGGCTGCACTTCTTCCAAAGCGGATCTTTTGGTTCTTTTGGCAGCCCATGGCACTTTCAATATTCTCCTACAACACCATGATTCAGAAGCATCAATTCTTCTACAGTATTCCTTATTCACTGTCCAGCTTTCACATGCATATGAGGCTATTGAAAATCCCATAGCTTGGGTCAGACGCACCTTATTTCTCAAGCTGACATTCAACCTGTATGCTGAGCAAATAATTTGAGAAGCTGGGTTCTATGAAGAAAAACGTGGCATCAGGATTGGAGGAAGACTCATTAACAACTTGTGATATGCAGATGATACAGCATTGCTTGATGAAAGTGAAGAGGACTTAAAACATTTACTGATGAAGATCAAAGAGCACAGCCTTCGGTATGGATTCCATCTTCAATGTAAAGAAAACAAAAATCCTCACCACTGGACCAATAAACAACATTCTTATCAATGGAGAAAAGATTGAAGTTGTCAAGGATTTCATTCTTCTTGGATCAATTATCAACACTCAAGGAAGCAGCAGTCAAAAGATGAAATGATGTATTGCACTATGCAGATCTGCTGCACGAGACCTTTTTAAAGTGTTGAGGAGCCACACCAGTAGGCAGAGTAAAATAATGAAGACCTACCCATCTGCCCATCAACTAGAGTCCTGATGTGGTGCTGTGGGTTAATGCGCCAGACTGCAAAGTCGTTTGAACTGCAAGGTTGGCAGTTCAAGCTTACCAGCTGCTCCTCGGAAACCCTATACAGGGTTGCTATGGGTCGGAACCAACTCGACGGCACTTCACAACAACAAACAACAATAATCCATCAACTGCTATGGAGTTATTTCAGACTCATAGTGACCCTATCTACATGCTACAAATCTGCATGGGAGCAGACAGCCTCATCATTCTCCTGAGGAGTGGCTGGTGGGTTTCATCAGCCAACCAGTGGTTGTCTAATCTTCTGCGCTACAAGGGCTTCTTAATGAAAACCTGTGTGTTCCTCCAAGGAGCTCTGGTAGCGTTGTGGTTACAAGTCGGGCTGCCAACCTCAAGGTCAGCAGTTTGAAACTAACAGTAGTTCCGCGGGAGAAAGATGAGGCGTTCTGCTCCTGTAAAGATTTACAGCCTCGGAAACCCTGTGCAGGGTCACTATGAATGGGAACTGACTCCACGGTAATTAACAACAACAATGTGTACCTCAAGTAACAATATAGTCATTGTTAACATTTTGACACATTTGCATAATCTAGTTTTACTTTTTTTTAAAAAAAAACTTTTTATTGTGAATTGAGTTAAAGATTTATAGACCAGATCTTTAGTTTTACACTCTACAAATACATATACTTTGTTACACTACATGGTTGCAATCCCCTCCATGTACCAACAGTTAAAGCATTTACCTGTATTCACTGTAACTACTGCATTCCTGTGTGTCTCCCGTTGCCTTCTTCTTTCCTGTAATAACCTCCCTCTTGTATATTGCCTGTCCTATCACCCATGAATAATTTTGCATCCCACACTCCCATAAACATAGATTGTTTCTTTTATCAAGAAAATCTTTTTTTTTTTTTTTTTTTATAACTTTTTGCCACATTGGTCTCATACAGTGTTTGTTCTTTTGTGATTGAATAACTTCATTTCGCATCATGTCTTCCAGGTTCAACCATGTTGCAGGGTGTTTCACAGATTCATCTTTATTCTTAATGTTTTGTATAGTATTCTATTGTGTATATGTATCAAAGTTCGCTTAACCATTCTTTTTTAACCATTCTTTTAATGGGCATTTAGGCCATCTCCATCTTTTTGATTTGTCTCTTGTAGACAACAGATTGAAGGATCATGTTTTCTTATCCATTTTGCTTTTTATGTCTCTTGACTGGTACATTTAATCCATTTGTATTCATGTAATTATCAATAGTGATGAATTGATTGTTGTCTTTATTCTGCATTTTCGCCCCTTGCTGCTGTATTCTTCATTCTACATAATTTTCTTTGCTGAGCTCATTTTATTTGTGGCTTTTCATTTCATTTTCATTTTTGTTGTGTTAATATTTAATAGAGCTTTCTGATTTTCTTCTTTTTAAAAGTTTGCTGTGCAGGTGTATTAATTTTCTTTGGGATTACCCTGTAATTTCTTATTCTTTTTTCCTACTTAAAAAAGTCTGTTTTATCTTGAAATCTAAGTTTATTTCCTTGCCATCTGGAAGTTCTGTATCTACACTTTTCCCTCTGTAGTTGATTTCATAATGCACTGATTATCTCTGGTTCCCAATTTTCAGTCTTGAAGATATGTTTTACTTTAAATAATTGTATACCTGGATTGAGTTCTGGGTGCCGGCATGTTTGGTAATCCCAGGTTGTTGTCTTATGTTTTTGGTTTTCAGTCCAGAGAACACCCTTTAGCATGTTTTGTAAACATGTTGTAGTCACTACAAATTCCTTTAATTTCTGTTTATCAGGAAATGCCCTAATTTCACTA